GCACATGCTAAAACCTATATCTATAAGTTACAATTTAAAAGTAAATGCATGCCACCCTACATGGTTTTGTTGTATAACATGCTGTGGTTGTGCTTAAGAAACACGGTTACACACACAGAAGTTCATGAAAGGTACAGATCTACCTGAGAATTAGAAAGTTACAGAATTCATAATCCTGCTTAACTAAACACTTCACCTCTGGCTGCTCTAAAGGCACTATATGTCTTTATTTAGTGTGATTTACTTCAGACGACGAGTCTGTTGATTAAATACTTATTGTTCAACATAAAACTTATTGTAAGAGTAAGTAATCATTTCAAAGTATATATAGATGATTAAAAATAATCAATGCTCTAACCCAGCCACTCATGCTTCATGCTTCTCCCAACTATTCCACATTTGCTTCCACAATGGCAACATTCCTCTCAGACACATTTGAAATGTAATGGCAGAGAGTGTGTTTCCAGCACAGACATTTAGATACTTTAGGCATACTTTTGGGGCGATGGTATATATTATATATCATATAATATTCACACATTTGAAGTGGTTCACCAGCAAATAATGAACAAGTGTAATGTATAGAGCATGTGTAAAAGATCATTTAAACCTGGCTATCAGTGTGCTCTGAGTGATCATGCCGAAGCAGAAAGAAAACAACTGCAATGCCAGACATCTCTGCTTTCAATAGAACATCATTTGTTTCATTTACAGTGCATTTTATAACCAGTGTTTGTGTTTGATTTCTTGGCTGAAAGTCAGAGGTGCTGCACCTAATTCTATCTTTAGTAACAGTTTTGCGTCCCAAGGTGGTCAAAAAAGTAAAGTCATTATTTGTGGATTATTAATCAGAGAGGATTTGATATCTATAAACACTTTTGTGAGCATGGAGATTTTATACATTTCTGATTCACACTCTTGTGAAAAGGAAGTGTGCCTAATTTTATTAAAAATACATGTCAAATATTAAAAATATATTTTAAAAAACTCCATGCATATAATATTAATAAAATGAAGGGCCACAAAAGTGTACTTTCATTTAAAAAGTGCACTTTGTAATAATGTCAAATTAAAAGTTTTAAATTGTAAATCCTCATGCTGTAATAATATTTTCGATAAAACATTAAAAGTTACTATATCTTGAAGGTACTAAGTTGCAACTTCATTGCAAATGTGCCATTACAAATATTTTACATGAATACATGATTTATCATAAATCCTTGTCAGTACATTCAGCAGTTCACTTTAACTACACAAGAGAATATTTCAGTACAGTCAGTGGGCCAAAAAAAGCTCTCTTAAAAAAAATGTTCAGCCAATTGCATTCAATATAAGTTTAAAATATTATATAATTTAATTTAATTGCAATTGACTCAAAAGGTAAAGTGTATTTCTCTTTTTCACAAGGGCATATGTAACAATAGACAAATCACCAGCATGTGCTATGTTTGTTTGCACGTGTGCTTCAGGTTGCTTGCGTATGTTTTTAAAACAAGGATCCATCTCTAAGTGATGAAGAACACAGATACAATCTGCTCACACTATAAGCATAAGCAATCAATGTGGCCATTTAATCAACACTAATGAGGAACCTCTGAGGAACTCATCTGGCTGGTCTTCCTTCTGTATATCTCAATGTTTTTTTGTAAAATGATTCCTGGCAACCATGAACTTTCTACACATTCTATAAGAAGAGACTGAATAATATATTAAAATCTGAGTATTAAAAACTGAGATTACATTACAACATTCAAATTTTAAAGCAACAGTTCACCCAAAAATGACAGTTTGCTGAAATTGCACGTACCTCAGGTTTGTTTCTTGAATTTGCTTCCTCATCTGAACAGATTTGTAGAAATGTAGCATTACATCACTTGCTCACCAGTGGATCCTCTGCAGTGAATGGGTGCCGTCAGAATGAGAGTCCAAACAGCTGATAAAAACATCACGATAATTTAAACAGTTCTTATAGTGACATGCATTAAACAGCTGCATATTTTGTGCATAATTAACCAGCCTGTATCACCAATAAACATAGTCTTTAAATTATGCATATGTATTATCAGTATTATGCAATAATAATGTAATAATAATTATTATATAATCATCATGACAATGTTAACTTGCTAAAAGTATCAAAAAGGGAAAAAAATAACAACAGAATAGAATAGACACCAGAATGAAAAACACCAATTTACTGCTACGAGGTTAATTTTATTCACTAAAAAGATCAAAATGTGAAATAAGAAGCAATAATCGCACATTGTTGGTGCATAAAAGTGATTTAATAAGTCCATTCAGTACCGAAAATACACTGCACTTCAAACACCATGAGAATGTGCTCCAATGTCACACTAATTTCTTTGATCATCATCTAGTGGAAACCGTCTCAGGTTACTTATGTAACCATGGTTCCCTGAGTAGGGAACGAGACACTGCATCCTCTAGGGGTCACTATGGGGAACGCATCGTTGTGACCCGTGTCTGAAGCATAAATTGAAAAAACACCAACTCGTTGGCCGGCGACAGCCATGACGTCACTACCGGTGCGACTATAGTATAAATAGGCGCCGGGAGCTACACATCATTCACTCTTCGTCTGAAGCTTGAGTACGCAGCATGGTAAGAAGCCTAGAGGATGCAGTGTCTCGTTCCCTACTCAGGGAACCATGGTTACATAAGTAACCTGAGACGTTCCCTTTCATGGGAACTTCGAACTGCGTCCTCTAGGGGTCGCTATGGGGAACGGTATACCCACGCCACCATGCTGAGGGGAGTGCAAGCCAGAACCATGGCGAGCACTAAGTACCAACTCTACCATATTGCTATGGGAGTCGACCCTGGGACATTAGACGGCTGTCAGTGACGTTATTCCCTACGGCCAAAGGCCTAGGCTACATACCCCAAAATACTTACCTGTTAGGGTCAGACTCCTGGGCCCGGGGTAGAGCCTAGACCAAGAGCCTAGAATCATACTAGTCTTGGCCTGTCACACAGGGTTTCGAAGTTCCCATGAAAGGGAATCATAAAAGCATGCACAATTAAACAAGAGCTGGTGGAGTGAGCACTGCAGAAAATGTAGAGATGCTGTGTAAAAGAGGTACGAAAGTAAATAAACAGAAGAGAAACAAAATGCTTTGGTTCGTTAGATCTGTAATAAACAATAGTTTCCTTGGATCACGACTGTTTTGTAACATTTAATGTCATATAATTAACTCAGAGACTCGAGAGATACTAAAAATGACATTCTGTCAGTCTGGTGAGTGAGTAACTGTTAGCTGAACTATTAAACTTTGTGAGACAATAAGCAAGCAAACAAAGGGCCAACGATGACGCATAAAAGCCCTATTCTAACTCTCTCCATTTGATCATCCATTGCTACTTGAAGAATACAGAATGATTATATGAAAGATGAAAACGGGGTTTCTCAAGACACAAAACCTCATCCTGCACCAAATGGATTTTCTAGAGTACTAGCACCAATGACATTAAATCAGGAATATGCATAATGTCTACAGGGAACTCATGCCACTGTTTGATATTAACAGTGGAGAACACAGGGGGTGAAAGGGCAAGCCCAACTTGGATGTATATTATTGTTAAGATATTGTTACTATTTTTCATTCTCTTGTGAGCATAGAGGTTGAATATAGATATTATGTCATCAGATTTACCAGATTACGAACACTCAAGAGGCCAAATGAACTGTGGGAATATTTTACAATATGTAACATATATTAACATATCATACAGAGCTTTTTTGTTTGTTAGTAGGTTAGCTTGATGGAAGTATTTATTATTGCAGATCAGTGGTGAGTGCCATTTCTCAGTTAACATGATATTACCTGCAATATAGTTTGCTGTAGTTGTAGATGACAGCTGACAATGATTTAAAGCTGGTATGATATACAATCTACATCTAAAATTAGCTTCCTGCAAACCAAATACCTGATCATAATGTCTTGCATTATGTGGATCCACCTGTGCATGCTTGCATTGTTTACATACATTTTTTTCCCTGCGAGGCATGCCACTTTTTTCCCCCCGTTGGAGCTGTGTACATTTACACCAATCATGCAATGATCTTTCTGTACTTGTTAATGTCATTTTTCATAATCTAGTACTTCATTCTGAAAGACACTGCAAAAACGGCAGTGTTTGCAAGGCAGCCAAAGAACTGTCAAGCTTCCCACGCTCTTTGATCAATACATTTCATTGATTTTCCAGTTGTATCTCTTAAGGAATTTGAAAAAAGTCATTTTATAGAAATTGCACCTAGTATATTTCTAGCTAATTAAATATTCTATATCTATGCATAATTCGAAAAATAATCTATATTCATTAATTTCCTTGACTTTTCCAGACATGGACCATTGCAGTTGATCTGTGGGAATCCCAAATAGTGTAAATGCTAAGTAAAATTTAATTCACACAGAACCAAATCCTAAAACCTAAACATAGGTTTGATTCAGTGCAAATTAAATGCTGCATAAGAGCTCATTTGCCATTGCAAGAATCACCATACACGGCACAGTTTATGCTCTGAATGATTAAATGTATGCAAGGAAGAATACAAGCATGCACCAATAACAATTTATAATGCAAACCGATGCAAGAAAAAAGACCAATCACCATTCAGTATGCAAATATCATGAAGACATCTCTGCTGCCAATCACTTTTTGAGTGATTCTATCACGGCATCAAAGGGAAATTATGTTATTTTTTAAAGGATGAAAGTTAACAATAACAGCTAAAACAAGGAAGGTGAAATCAGTGGTTCAGGCTAAATTAATTGCAGATGTTTAATATTTAGCGTTAAGGTTTGACCCTGAATATTTGAGGAATATCAGTCTTTGCTGCTTTGGAAACACTGCAAGTACATCAGCTGACAGGCATGAAGGAGCTCTGCAGTCTTTTATATCAGGTAAATACAATGTTAAAGCAATAGTTCACCCCAAAATGAAAATTCAGTCTCATGTCTTCCGAAACCCACAACTTTTAAAAATGTTTATTTCTTATGTGGAATGCAAAATGGCAAAATAATAGTAGGGTGTCTCAATTGCTCTTTTTGTAAACATGAACAGAGATCACAGTAGTCAAGCAATATTTTAACGGATGACATAAATGTATGACTTCAGACTTGGAATATAGTGCACAAGTTATATGAACCATTCTTGTTTTTGCTTTTATGGTGATTTTTTTTGGTCCCCATCCATTTGCAGTGTACTAAAGAAAGTCAGATTTGAAACAACATGAGTAAATTAATTTCTATTTTTGGTTGAACCATCCCTTTATGTATAATGATAATGGCCTATATCATAAAACCCTATCATGTTGATTTCATCCATCACTAAAATACAAAACCCTTGCTGCTAAAGCCTCACTCATGTCTAACGCACCTCTACTACAATATACATACAGATCACATGAGCACGAAGCGTCAAACGTCTGTTAAAGAGTCAATGGGGGCCACTTGAGGTTCAGTGGGAGGGCTGGGCATTTCTTCTATCGGCTCAGATCTGGGTTCAGGCTCACGCTCAGGCATTGGCTCCACTTCTGAGACCATCACCTCCACCTGTAAAGAAACAGACGTTAGGCTCTAGCTCTAGCTTTACATTAGATGTTTTCCAAAACCAAGAAAGCTTGAATCTCAACAGAAATCTCATAGGTTAACAACACAGGTGCTCTTGGTGTACCTGAGGTTGGCTAGGGGTGATCACCTCAGGCTGAGATGGGGCAGCACGCTGTCTGAAACCAAGAAGCTGTAGAAAACATAGGGTCCGTCGCTGTATTATATTATATTAGTTCATTATGAAAATTCTGAGGAGGAAATATCAAAATACAAATAAAGAATATTCCTGAAAAGAATCACAATTATAGAAGTTCACCAAAGTATCTGCTATAGTAATTATCATGTATTAAACACCATGCAGGGTCGGAAATTAACAGAGGCTTGGGGCAAAAATTCCACCAAAATGAACAAAAATTCCCCATAAATTTAAGAAAAAGGGGTGACTGCCGTGATTAAAGTGAAATGCAAAATTACACAAAAAGTGTTGATTGTGGCATTACATTTAGATCTGCTTATGAGATCAAAGATTGCATCAGATATTTCTTTTTACATATTTTTTTCTGCATCATTATATCCAATCACCGACATTTCTTTTCATTCATTATAACTAGAGGTTTAGCAGGAATGATTACATCTTTGCTCGCTTTCTGTATACAATTTATTCCCCATTTCAAAAACGATATTGTTTTTCATTTTACTGGGATAACAAATGTGAAGTCTTGATTTTCTAATGTGTAAAAAACAATAAACTAATTCATAATGAATTTTATTAATCAACATTAATTATCATTTTAACAATGTCAACAATATCAAATTTTGCAGCCTGTACCCTGTAATGTGTTCCATTTTTTATTTTTTAGAACTGACATACTTTATGTATGCTATTTAAAACATAATTAACCTCATATCATTATGCAATTGTTGTGTACATACATGTATGTAAATACATGCTACCTTTAAGTAGCATTGAACGGTGTAAAAAGACATAAATGCATGTCAGACGCAGCTTCTGTTCCACCTTCGCAGGGTAAAGATTGCTTTTGTTGATGATGATACAATTTTATTGATAACAGTCAACAGTATTCTGATTGACTGAATTAACTGATTCAATTTAAGTATTTGACATAAAAGAGAACACAGATTTAATAAGGTAATCATAAAAAAAAAATGCTCTTAGAAAAGTAAAATATTGCCCCTTGGAAAAGTTCATTTCTGTCCCTGCCATACAATCTCCAAAATTAACACATTCTCTCAGTCCTTCTATTTTTTTGCGCATGTGTTTAACTGACCTGCACGCTGCCTTTAGCCAGAGCATTTAGTCCGAACAAAATGGTTACAATGCAGATCGCCAACTCCACCACCAGAAACAGAACCAGTGTGGCCAAGAAGCCATCAATCAAGAGCTGAGAGCATCCGAAAGAGACAGAAAAACAAAGAAATAAAATAATAACCACAGCCATCAAAGCTCACGTCCACATGTTTGTAAGATGCCAAAGAGATTTACTCTTTGAAGCACACCAGTAAAGCAGATATTATTAAAATATATATATATAAAAAAAAGATTAGCAAGAGTGACCATCTGAATTTTCATAGCACAACTGCAAACTATTTTAAGTATCTTTCATTCTGAAGCATTTTCAGACAACTGGACCAAAGTGCAAAACTGACAACACATTACCCTGCTACCACATGCATTCACTCTCCTACAAATATACACAAAGCTACTGGTCATTTTTGATAAATATAATAAAAAGTAGCAGCTACTGAACTGTAGGGTGAATTCAAGCAAACTGGACCACTTTTTGAGATGTCGTCACATTGGTGACCCAGTTTACCTGAATGAACATGCTATGCTTTGTGCGTGAATTGCCACACAACATTTTTGTCCCCTTAAGAAACAACGATAGCTTTTTTAAGGAAAATGTTGCTTTCAATTTATCCGTTTTTCTTTCTTGCATTATCAGCGTATAATTAAGCACATTCATGTAAACAAAGGCAAACATAAGGGTAAGAATTACTTACTTTACAATTTCTCTCGACAGTATAACTGCACTTCCTGAAACAATATTGTTGCTTTGGAAAAGCAGACACAAAAGACAAAATCATGTTGAATTTTGTAAATGTAGCTATAAAGCTATACAAATGTATGCACACCCATTTAGCCAATTTAGAAAAACTGTTACAGTTTTTTGGCTTCCTTAAACTACAGTGCCCTCAGAAAGGTTTTGGATTTCTGAGATTGGGACAAACCCCACAGGACATAGACATAACTGGACTGCTATTATAAAAGATGTTTCTGAATGAAACTATTCCCTTTTGTTCCAGATACCTTTTGAGTTTTTGGTTGGTGTCTAGACTAAGGGCCAGATTTACGAAACAGGCCAAATTAGCATGAGAGTGCAATCCACACAATGCGCACATTAAAGAACACAGACGCAACTTCTCATTTCCAGAATGACCAACGCAAGCTACTAATCTTAGTGTAGTGTAGCAAACAAGCAGAGACAATGACAATCAGGTGCGTATAATCTAGTAATATAGCTGCCGTGCACGTTGGGTTAATATATGCTGTTTTTGGAAATACCAGTAAACTGACTAGCGCAAACCTTACTAAATCACCTTGCATGATTCAATTAAATGCTCTCCTCCCATACATTTTGCATCTGAAAGGGAAACTCCTACAAATGCATATGCAATAATGTCAGGTGCAAAAATGCCCTGTTCATGCCTTTGCATTGCTAATCTTTTGCAATGCCCATGCTAATCTTTTACTGCGTTTTTAATGGGTTAGTGCTGGTGCAAGCTGGTTAGTAAATCTTGCCCAAAGAGTGTTAATGTAAAATTATAAACATGAGCAGCCTCTCAGTCAAAAATTTACAGTACCAAAAGAATAAATAAAAACATTAAAAAGTTAAATAAAATGTAAACACGACCAAAGAAATAACCTCAAACAAAGAAAGCAGCCATATTCCAATATCCTAATATCCCATTTGACAATTTAATATTTTTGCTCTTAAAGGGATAGTTCACCCAAAAATGAAATGTGATGTTTATCTGCTTACCCCCAGGGCATCCAAGATGTAGGTGACTTTGTTTCTTGTGCAAAAATGCCCTGTTCATGCCTTTGCATTGCTAATCTTTTACTGCGTTTTTAATGTTTTTAATTCTAAAAGAGGGTTAGTGCTGGTCCAAGCTGTTAGTAAATCTTGCCCAAAGAGTGTTAATGTAAAATTATAAACATGAGCAGCCTCTCAGTCAAAAATTTACAGTACCAAAAGAATAAATAAAAACATTAAAAAGTTAAATAAAATGTAAACACGACCAAAGAAATAACCTCAAACAAAGAAAGCAGCCATATTCCAATATCCTAATATCCCATTTGACAATTTAATATTTTTGCTCTTAAAGGGATAGTTCACCCAAAAATGAAATGTGATGTTTATCTGCTTACCCCCAGGGCATCCAAGATGTAGGTGACTTTGTTTCTTCAGTAGAACACAAACGAAGATTTTTAAGTCAAACCGTTGCAGTCTGTCAGTCTTATAATGGAAGTGAACGGGAATCATAGCTTTGAGAGTAAAAAAAAACATACACAAACAAAAGCATTAAACCCTGCGGCTCATGACGATACATTGATGTGTGAAGACATGAAACGATCAGTCTGTGCAAGAAACTGAACAGTATTTATATAGTTTTTTACCTCTGATTTACACCGCAATGTCTGAACTGTCCTGAGCGCGTTCGCGTCTTCTCCTTTACCCTGCGCGTGAGGCGTCTTCTTCTTCTTCATGCTTTACGGCGGATCGCAGACTTATAAGTGCAATACCGCCACCTACCTCTCAAATGGACCATTGACACTCCTAATTGAGATTTTAGATAGAGTGTCAATGGTCCATTTAAGAGATAGGTGGCGGCAATGCACTTATAAGTCTTCCGATCTTTTTGTGTCTTTACACATCAATGTATCATCACGAGCCGCAGGGTTTAATTTGGTTTTGTTTATGTATGTTTTATGACTCTCAAAGCCGTGATTCCCATTCACTTGCATTATAAGACTGACAGACTGCAACGGTTTGAGTTAAAAATCTTCGTTTGTGTTCTACTGAAGAAACAAAGTCACCTACATCTTGGATGCCCTGGGGGTAAGCAGATAAACATCCAATTTTCATTTTTGGCTGAACTATCCCTTTAAGGCCATTATGGAAATTCTCCACTTTAGATCTAAAATATTTTGTGCGTAAAACCGCTTCACTTTACTGTCCAAATACCTTGAGGGCACTGATTTTATTCATTTTCTCCTTCATTGGAAAAAAGTCTGTACCAAGTGCAAAGGGTCAGTATCCTTATGGTTATTACTCTATTCTGTTATAAATATATAACATTTACATTACAAAGCAGTAACAAATAAATAGGAGAGATGTGAAACTATCATCGTAATTATGCCAACAGCTCATATCTATCTATATATCTCAACAATTAAACATTATGATAAATCAATTACAATGATACATTTTCAATTTCCAATCAAATTGCTTAAATTTCTTTCCAATTTAAAGCAATTTAATAAAGTATAAATTGCATTTACACAATCCCACATCAAATCAGAAGTCAGTACCCCAAGTAACAACATTACCTGTCTTTTTTCACTTTATATTTCATTCAAAAGCTTTATATTTATTCCAACATAATCCTTCAATTCATTACGCTCTTACCCTGGCTAAAAAAAAAATTAAACAGAAGGTCTACTCATATGCTATGTATAATGTTAATGTAAGGTTTAAGCAAACCAAAATTATACAATAAAAAAAAAAACTTCCAACTTTGAAAGCACTAATTTGACTATGTAAAAAAAAAAAAGAGACAAACAGGTCTTTAACTCTTCAATTTAATAAAGTATAAATTGCATTTACACAATCCCACATCAAATCAGAAGTCAGTACCCCAAGTAACAACATTACCTGTCTTTTTTCACTTTATATTTCATTCAAAAGCTTTATATTTATTCCAACATAATCCTTCATTTCATTACGCTCTTACCCTGGCTAAAAAAAAATTAAACAGAAGGTCTAATCATATGCTATGTATAATGTTAATGTAAGGTTTAAGCAAACCAAAATTATACAATAAAAAAAAAAACTTCCAACTTTGAAAGCACTAATTTGACTATGTAAAAAAAAAAAAGAGACAAACAGGTCTTTAACTCTACTGAAGATTCACAAAAAAATCTTCAACCATATGAAGTATATGAACCTGGTTTTTTGACAGACACACATTGAAGATGCTTTGTTTTGCACTTCGGTACAGTCCTTTGAAAAGGCATCAAGGGAATTGCTTAAAGAAAAAACTGTAACAAGAAAGTTGATGTGGCCAGTTCAACACATCATACCCACTTTACAGTGTTTTATCCTTCCCACTGCACCCAAAACTCACCCGCATGCATTCATCATCAATATACTGTATGTATACAGATCTACAGGTCTACATATATATATATATATACAGTATATATGTGTGTGTGTGTGTGTGTGTGTGTGCAGAAATAGGCAAACCCATCTTCCCATAATGCAAGGCACTCAGCAGCAGAGAGTAGCAGATGAGCTTACCACAGCATAGATCTCCAGTCTCCTGCAGTGCTCACAGTGGTACGTGTCCTGACGGTAAGGCAGGTGACGGGACAGCAGCCCAAGAACAGCAGTGGAAAACGCTGCACTGACCAGGTGAGCAACCAGTGTGGCTTTCACCTTCACATGATGGGACAGAAGTTACTGTACAGCTCATTTACTGTAATTTGATAAAACACTGAAAAATGAAAGGCATTTTCATTTCATGCAGTACTGAAAAAATACTGAAATACAATACCAGTCAACAGTTTGGATGCACATATTTCTGTAGGATGATTATTTGACACATTTTTAGAGTCATCAAACTATGAAATAACACAAATGGAAGTATGTGAATTATGTAGGGGCCAGATCAAAACTCCCCTGTAAGCTTTCTCTTCTTCTTTGTATAGATTGAAGCTTGACAGATTTCAATTAGTTCACATGTGTGATGGATATGTAATTATGTAATTGTTGGCTCCAAAACCAAACACCTCCTCTGCCAACCTCCACCAGAACTGCTGAGACTATCACATCTTTCAAAAAGCAGGTGAAGACACACCTCATCTGCAAGCACTTAACTACCACACTTAAACACACTCTTCAACTAATGCACGTACACATAAAAAACTCTTCTATAGCTTGCTTCCTAATCTAGTTGTCTTTTTTCAATCCTTTATGCATAAGCATTCACTATCTGCTCCAAAACCAAAAGAAACAACACAACACACACACAAAACAAAACAACAACAACACAAAACAAACACCAAACATAACAAAAAACAAACAACTCCTGCCTGTTTATAAAATCACAAACATGTATGCATACACATTAAGCATTCACTATCTGCTCCAAATTCAAACAAAATAAAACAAAACCAAACACAAAGCATAACTCTTTAACACAACTTTTAAGAAAATCATAAATGGGCACAACTACAGAACTAATTTGTATTGATTATGCATAAGCATTAAACATTCACAATCTGCTCCAAAACGAAACAAAACAAAACAAACACCAAACATAACAAAAAACAAACAACACTCAAGAAAATCATAAACAGGCACTATTTATATTTTTCTACAAAAGTAATTTCAAACATTTATGCATAAACATTAAGCATTCACTAGCTGCTCCAAATCCAAATGAAATAAAACGAAACCAAACACAAAGCATAACTCAAAACAACTTTTAAGAAAATCATAAATGGGCACAACTACAGAACTAATTTTATCGATTATGCATAAGCATTAAGCATTCACAATCTGCTCCAAAACAAAACAAAACAAAACAAAAATTGTAAACAGGCTGACTAGTAGTGAGGGTTCAGAGTCGGTAGGTGAGTTGGGCAGTAGTTTCACTGATTCTGCAAACCTTGAACTTGTACTCACCCAGAACAGAGACGGGAACCGTCCAGCGTGGATTAAAATGGATCCAGACACAAGCAACTGATAACAGGAGAATTACTGAAGTTTGCAACATCCTTAATGACAACTGGATTCATAATAGATGAAACACTCTGCTTTATGGTCCATTAGCAAATTCAGCTTACCTGAACAACGATCACTACCACGACAATGACATCAGGAGAGAAGTGAACCTCTTCATAGAGCTGAAGAATGGTGATGCTCAGACACAAGCACAAGACCGCGATAATGATCTGAATGGACTGAACCAACAGAACAACCAGCTCAATGAACTTGATATGCTGCCCAAAAGGCCATTTCAATGGTTTTATAACAGAAAATGTGATGTTTAAGGTTCAGTTCAAGTTATTGCAAAGCCATTCTGCGCAGTAAACTTCATGCTTTCATATTGTACAAGATGTTCAACAAAGTGGCTTTGGCGAAATAACTGGACATCTGGTATATGGAAGATATTCCTGTGCATGCTTCCCTGGATTTGGTGTGAGATTTGTTGCAGGGAATGTGACACTCACCCCCAGTGCTTTCGGCTCCACCTTCTGAAATGTCTTGACCTGCTTTGGCATCAGGCTTCCTGCAGGGCGCGTGGGGCCCTGACTCTCAATGCCCATGCTGAGGTCAGTCAGTTTGAGGCCTGGCTATGCTAATATCAGAGAATCAGTTTGAGACAAGAAGTGTAAGAATAGCTGGTTATGAGGAAGAAAACGGAACTGAATAGTGAAACAGAGAGAGATTAGAATGAGGACAGTGCAGGACAGAATGGAAAAATATGGCTGACTGAACATTAAATCATATTTACCCTCAAAAAGGTCATGCTCATGGTGTCATTTGTGCCTGATAGTCCATTAAAAGGTTACTGCTTTCGATAAATTATATTTTCCATCCTATGTGAGGCCCAAAGGTCCAGAGATGCTGTGATCAAATTAGATAAATGCTTTTCAATGGACTATTCTTGAACTCATAACCTGCAATCTCAAATATGTGGTTACTGACTTGTAAAGCGGCAATGGTTATTTACCCTAAACTGAAGTGAACACAAAAACTATAACAATCATCATGATATTACATCATTATTTAGTCAATACTCTTGTGCTTAAGAGAATTAACTTTCAGAAATATTACGGATTTGACTGCACTGGCACAACTGGATGAGATCTGAGCTGAAATGGATAATGGCACTATTGTCTTCAGTACAGCTGGCATTGCAGCCGTTTCACTAATAAGGAAATTACTGAATAGAACTGAATCATGGTTAAAGTCAATTGATCTGAATAATGACACTATTGTCGTCTTTAGAGCTGCTTTATAGCTGGATAGAATTTTTTTGTAATTTGATAAACTCTGTAACATTGACACTGCCACCGAACTGAATCGAATCACTTAACTGTCTTGACCTAATAATGGTAATTATCTTCTGTAGAGCTGATTTACAGCTAAAAGTGAAGTCATTTTATAATTGTTAAAACTTTACAGTGCTACTAATTTTCTCTTTATTCCCGTGGAGCGGTTTTGAAACATTCTGTATTGTATAAAGCGCTATATAAATAAATGTGACGATTCAAATCTTTGTGTTATTTTCATGTCAATAAAAACTACATTTAGTTCGAATTCCATTTTCTATAACCCATATAATAGTGATCAACGGGACCTGCAAATTGGCTCATATTCAGAATATTCAAAACAACATAACACTGTCAATATGAGATCACTGTAGAAATAACTAGGCTTTAGTTTATAGCATTATATATACAGTACTCGACTCTGCCACTATTCCATTATGAAACTCTTTGACTTGAATTTGAATGGGGCAAAATAAGCTTTAAACCAGGGCTGCCCAAACTCGGTCCTGGAGGGCCGGTGTCCTGCTGAGTTTAGCTCCAACTTGCCTCAACACACCTGCCTTTAAGTTTCTTGTATGCCTAGTAAGAGCTTGATTAGCTGGTTCAGGTGTGTTTAATTGGGGTTGGAGCTAAACTCTACAGGTCACCGGCCCTCCAGGACCGAGTTTGGACACCCCTGCTTTAAACTATAAAAGATTGACTATTAAAGAGATAGTTCACCCAAAAACAAATTTTCTGTCATCATTTAATCACGCTCATATTTTTATAAACCTGCGGAGATATTTTGAGGAATGTTAGTAACCGAACAGTTTTGGTTCCCATTGAGTTCCATCATATTTGTTGTCAATACAATGGAAGCCAATGGGAACTCAAATTTGGTTACCAACATTCCTTTTGTGTTCTGAAGAAAAACGATTCTGAAAGACACGAGGATGCGTAAATGATGATAGAATGTTAATTTATAGGTGGACTATCCCTTTATCATTTTGTAGAGATGTAGCTACCAAAAGAGGATTTTTGACAACAACAACAAAAAAGGACAAATCTAATCTGACATGAAAGATGGTCTTTCATGGAAACCAGTCATATATGCATCCCTCTGAACTGTCTAGACGCCTTTTCAAATAGGACAGCCTCTCTGAGGAATCAGATAAAGCCCCCAAGTTACAAAAACGGGTTACTCCATGAACCCCATCATAGGGAGAGGTTTTTAGACACTTGATATATTGGTTAATTTATGATTTTTAATGCAACTACAAAAGATCTCTAGAGGGGTTCGCAAGTGTGTCCGTCTGAGGAACCCCAAATATTGCTTCCAGTATCTACTGCATACAGTATTATATATTTCACCAATACTAGACCACTTCAAATCTGTAGAATGATTCTAACATTTTAAGAGCGCACCTTCACACGTTTCTGAGTCTTTGCATGCAGTTTTTATCATATGCAGGTATTTCATATTTCATTACTGATGTGATATTAAACGGGTTTCTTGGCCTTGAAGGCAAGAGGAGCAGCCAAAAATAGACGTAGGGCAGAACGTGCAGCTTCATCATCCCCTTCACATCCGCATTGTCCCGCACTATGACAACATGCAACTTTATTTCTGAGCATAACTGCGCCACGAATAACGCTGAACGCGACTCACCACAGTGCTGTTCTGTCTAACTGATCCCCGAATCCTAAAGACGGGTAACCTTCAGCTCTGTCATAGGTGGGGCCGCGCGCTGGTGCGTCCTGTCCCAAATCGAGATTCCTTCAAACACACGTGTGATGGGTCACTTACCTCTGCGGCTCAAGGAAAACGCGTTGATTCTGCTTTTCTTTTTTTAAAGGCGAAAAAGTGCAGCATTCAGTTATTCCATCCGCGTTGTGGTTGAAGGGAAACAACTAGTTAAGTCTCATCAGGGTGTGTGACGCGCGGCTGACGCGCAGTACCGCAGTGAGGACGCAGTGGACGCGTTGCGCTGCGCCGCGTCGGTATGGATGCAGACAGTGATGCATCAACTTCCATCACTCATTACAACGCTCCTGTTAACAAGCAACCAAGCGCGGGCGACATGGAAACGTTTGTCGGGTCACCTCTCTTCCACTTGTATTATTATTATTATTAATTTCTTCCATTTTGAATATCAGCAGCACAAGTGTGATTTTTCATTCAGAACAGCAGTTACAGTTCAATAAACAATACCTAGTAGATTACATTTCAGACAAAAATAAGTTTGTATTTCTTTTCTGCTAATTGATTTTATAGTCTGTACACTTTCAATGAGAGGCTAAAAACTATTATTTTAAATTAGTTAATTTACACTGCTAATCAAAAGTTTGGAATGATTAAGATTGTACTTCATGTTTGTAGGAAGTCTCTTATAAGGCAGCAGTTAATTGATCAAAAGTAAAATAGTAATATTGTTAAATAGTATTACGATTTAAAATAACAGTTTTATATTGTAATGCATTCTAAAATGTAATTTATTCCTGTGATCAAAGCTGAATTTTCAGCATCATTACTCCAGTCTCCAGTGTCACATGATCCTTCAGAAATCATACTGATATGCTGATCTGCTGATCATTTATCAAGATTATTATCAATGTTGAAAACAGTTGTGCTGCTCCATATTTTAGTGGAAAGGTTCAGGACTGTTTGATGAATAGAAAGTTCACTGAACAGCATTTTATTGAAATCGAATTTTTTTGCAAGATTAGAAATGTGTTTACGGTCACTTTTGATTAATGTGTCCTTGCTGATTACAAGTTTTAATTTTTATGCTACACTGCCATTCATAAGATTTGAGTGCGATAATAATAAATAAATGTGTACTTGTATTCAGCATGGACACATTAATCAAAAGTGACGGAGTAAAAAAAATAATAACATTGATGAATCGAAAGTTCACTGAACTTTTGCAAAGAATCCTGAACCTTACCACAAAAATATTAAGCAGAAAAAAATGTTCAGCATTAATCATAATAAGAAACATTAAGCATCAATAATATTTAAGCAGCAGATCAGCATATCGGAATGATTTCTGAAGGATCATGTGACACTGAAGACTGGAGTAATGATGCTGAAAATTCAGCTTTGATCACAGATTTTCTTTTGTCATTTGCTGCCACCTAGTGGGAAAAAAATATAAACTTTTCAAACACATTAAATCTGTATCTTTTATTTTCAAAACATTATAAAAAATAAAGAATCTTTCGAAAACAGTGGCGTGCAGGAGAATGCATCTAGTCCTGTGACAGGCTTCACATATTGGGCGTCGATTGGACTCGGTTATCCAGCTAAAGACAAACAGAAAAATAGAGTCCTTGCTGATTACAAGTTTTAATTTTTATGCTACACTGCCATTCATAAGATTTGAGTGCGATAATAATAAATAAATGTGTACTTGTATTCAGCATGGACACATTAATCAAAAGTGACGGAGTAAAAAAAATAATAACATTGATGAATCGAAAGTTCACTGAACTTTTGCAAAGAATCCTGAACCTTACCACAAAAATATTAAGCAGAAAAAAAATGTTCAGCATTAATCATAATAAGAAACATTAAGCATCAATAATATTTAAGCAGCAGATCAGCATATCAGAATGATTTCTGAAGGATCATGTGACACTGAAGACTGGAGTAATGATGCTGAAAATTCAGCTTTGATCACAGGAATAAATTACATTTTAGAATGCATTACAATATAAAACTGTTATTTTAAATCGTAATACTATTTAACAATATTACTATTTTACTTTTGATCAATTAACTGCTGCCTTATAAGAGACTTCCTACAAACATGAAGTACAATCTTAATCATTCCAAACTTTTGATTAGCAGTGTAAATTAACTAATTTAAAATAATAGTTTTTAGCCTCTCATTGAAAGTGTACAGACTATAAAATCAATTAGCAGAAAAGAAATACAAACTTATTTTTGTCTGAAATGTAATCTACTAGGTATTGTTTATTGAACTGTAACTGCTGTTCTGAATGAAAAATCACACTTGTGCTGCTGATATTCAAAATGGAAGAAATTAATAATAATAATAATACAAGTGGAAAAGAGGTGACCCGACAAACGTTTCCATGTCGCCCGCGCTTGGTTGCTTGTTAACAGGAGCGTTGTAATGAGTGATGGAAGTTGATACATCACTGTCTGCATCCATACCGACGCGGCGCAGCGCAACGCGTCCACTGCGTCCTCACTGCGGTACTGCGCGTCAGCCGCGCGTCACACACCCTGATGAGACTTAACTAGTTGTTTCCCTTCAACCACAACGCGGATGGAATAACTGAATGCTGCACTTTTTCGCCTTTAAAAAAAGAAAAGCAGAATCAACGCGTTTTCCTTGAGCCGCAGAGGTAAGTGACCCATCACACGTGTGTTTGAAGGAATCTCGATTTGGGACAGGACGCACCAGCGCGCGGCCCCACCTATGACAGAGCTGAAGGTTACCCGTCTTTAGGATTCGGGGATCAGTTAGACAGAACAGCACTGTGGTGAGTCGCGTTCAGCGTTATTCGTGGCGCAGTTATGCTCAGAAATAAAGTTGCATGTTGTCATAGTGCGGGACAATGCGGATGTGAAGGGGATGATGAAGCTGCACGTTCTGCCCTACGTCTATTTTTGGCTGCTCCTCTTGCCTTCAAGGCCAAGAAACCCGTTTAATATCACATCAGTAATGAAATATGAAATACCTGCATATGATAAAAACTGCATGCAAAGACTCAGAAACGTGTGAAGGTGCGCTCTTAAAATGTTAGAATCATTCTACAGATTTTTCTGAAGGATCATGTGACACTGAAGACTGGAGTAATGATGCTGAAAATTCAGCTTTGATCACAGATTTTCTTTTGTCATTTGCTGCCACCTAGTGGGAAAAAAATATAAACTTTTCAAACACATTAAATCTGTATCTTTTATTTTCAAAACATTATAAAAAATAAAGAATCTTTCGAAAACAGTGGCGTGCAGGAGAATGCATCTAGTCCTGTGACAGGCTTCACATATTGGGTGTCGATTGGACTCGGTTATCCAGCTAAAGACAAACAGAAAAATAGAACTGTTCTTTGAACCACTAGACAGAACATGTTTCTCTGTCACTTGATTATAAAACACACATTTGGCAATATCACAATTTACAAGTGATTTCCCCAGAATGAAGACTTCAAATCCGTACCGTTCGGTGACAAACCACAGGTTGGGTTCAGGTCACTCCCAATATATTGGAATAGCTACAATCAGGCCCAATATATTGCTGTGCAAAGGCAAAATACGACAAACTACCCAGTTTTTTCCCCCAAAAATCCTTTGAAGCCATTTTCTCAGTTCCAGTGTTTTGCCGTTAGGGCAGAGTGAAGTGGTCAATATTTAATGAAGTTAGCAGTCTAACACCTATAACAGGTCGAACGTATACCAATACACTTCTGAATATGATTTTTATATTGATATTCTTATGTTGACATAGAAATAATAGAAAAACATCTACCCGTACTTGCACATTTAC